ACACAAATGACATGCAGCTCAGCTTGCTCAGAGAAATTTATTTAATACGGCAAGGCTGGTTTGAAGCTAGACCAGAAAACTGACCCAGCTGATCACTCTGTTATATGAACTCTAATTCTGGAACAAGAGAGGAGGTTTAATCAATTTCTGAAACAGCTGCTAACTTCAGAACATATGAAATCTCTGTAGATAAATATTATCGAAGTTACATAGCAGAGAGAATATTTTCTGTGTTGAAGACAGTACCAAAGAGTTACCTTAAATTTCACTGCTAAGAAAACAATTGAAAGAGTGGTATGGATTCTCTCATATCCCTAAATTACTTGAATTATTATTATTATTTTTTTAATAATAGTAAATCAATATAAAACAAGACTATGGCTATAAATAGAATTAAGAGATATTTATCACCTTGTATGCAGTCAGGAAAAGAAACCACACAGTCTGACAATTTTTTAGCCTTGCTATTTTCAATCCTAGATTTTTTTTTTCAGCAACACTAAAGTAACTGAGCAATATATGACATTAGCTGGTGAACGCTTGTACTTCAGTGTGGGCAGATGATGTATAGTGACTGCCCTTCCTTGGGCTCTACTCCGTCTCCACCTCTGCAATCTCAGAAACATGAAACCCACCAAAGTTATAGCATTAAAGTTAATGTGAGGAGAAAACAGGTTATTCACTTCAACTGAAAGAGCAGGATCCCTGATGAGAAATCACAAGTCAGCAATTTCTGGGATGACTTCCAAAGGCACAAATAGGTGCTAGGGCTCATATCACAGAAAATCAAAGGGAGTTTGATAGCTTAATTACAACACTTGATTTAAACAGTGACAGTCCCACTAAGCTGAATTACCACACAGCTCTGGAGAAGCTGGCCACCAGTTTTACTCTCCAGAATCTCTCATCATCTCTTCCTCCAGATGTCTGAGCACTGTATAACTCATAACTATTATAGATACACAGACACACTATAACTTCCCCTGATCTTAAAGAATCTTAAGGAAAGCAAGGCAGAGAGAACTAGGAGTGTTTACACTGGTAGCCTGTCCCTTGAGGATATGCTCGGTCTGCAGGACACGTTTGCCACCATTTTCATGCATATCTTCATCGTGACATGTCAGATGAAGGGGTATCATTCAGTACCTTATGCCTTCAGCTCTTTTGAGAAACTCCTACATTCATTGTTTGAGAACAGGACTTTTAAAAATAGCAGATAGGGAAAACAAACAAAAACCACCATGAAAACAGAACAACAACTCCCCTCTCATCCCCAGCCAAATCTGCCATGCCTGGCTAACAGCAAAGTCATCATTTGTTTTGGTTGAGACAAATTCTTTTCTGAAAGCTGTACCTTACACAAAGAGACTCCATTCAAATATGCAATTAAATTCGCTTCTGTTCAGGAAAGCAGGCCACATAGAGCATGATGTCAACACATCCCTACAAGATTTCTCCAAGAGTTCAGCAGAATAATTAGCTTTGGTACTGTTGCACAGTAGTTTTTATCTATCAGAGCTTTATCTTGCCTTCTCTCAGTGGTAAGTCTAAGAGAAATCCTGAACATTTGCCTCATGGGTCTAATAATCTTATTGATGCTCAAAGCGTTTAAATGTGATCTGCAGCTCCTTCACTCTTTGACATTCCAGTTCTTCAAAAAAAGTCAGATATTTTGGCAGGTGCTTAGCTCAGACTCGTTCTTCAGGCTATGAGGCTTTTGCCTGTCTAATTAGCTGTGGCAAAAAGCTGAGAATGTTGACAATCTGGGGATGTGAGGTAATAAAAAATAGATTATTTACCGGCAGCAAATTAAGCCCTCTAAGAACCAGTGTGATGAGTTGTGCCCCTCTGACAATTCCCTCTAGCAGACAGATACACTACTGTCTCCATCTGTCTATCAGTGCAAAGTGTACCTGATGGCATGTTTGTAATCTATTTTCCCATGCAAAAGACTTGGCTCACCAAAGCTTTCAGAGACTAAAGAAAGAAACCTTTCTGGTGACAGGAAGCAAAATATGTGTGCTTTCAAAGATGACTTTCCCAGTTTTCTCTGAACAGTGCAAATAATTGGCCAGTGGCACCTACCTCTGTTTACTAAGGTGGGAACTGGAGAAGCTGGGGGAATATCATGGAGAAGATCCTCCTGGAAGCTATGCTAGGGAATATGGGAGAGAGGGAGCTGATGTGGGATAACCAGCATGGCTTCACCAAGGGTCATGTCCTGCCAGACCAACCTTGTTGCTTTTTTTGATGGCATAACTGTATAAGTAGACAAGGGAAGAACCACTGATGTCATCTATCTGGACTTCAGTAAGGCCTTTGACACAGGCCCCCATAACATCCTTCTCTCCAAACTGGAAAAATATGGATTTAATGGGTAGAATGTTCAGTGAATGAGGAACTAGTTGCAAGATCGTACCCAGAGAGTGGTGGTCAGTGGCTCAACATCTGGATGAACATTGGTGACAAGTGGTGTCCCTCACCATTGAGTCAGTACTGGAACTGGTTCCCTTCAACATCTTTGTCAGTAATATCAACAGTGGGATCGAGGGCACTCTCAGCAGGTGTGCAGATGGCACCAAGCTGTGTGGTGCAGTTCACATGACTGAGAGATGGGATGCTATTCAGAGACACCTAGGCAGGCTCATACTGCATCAGGCTCAGTGAGCCCAGGTGAACTGCATGAGGTTCAATAAATCCAGGTTCAAGGTCTTCCACCTAGATCATGGTAAACTCTGCTATTAGTAGAGTGCTAAGCTGGGGAATGTAAGGACAGATCACAGCCCTGCCAAACAGGAGTTGGGGGTACTGGGGGATAATAAGCTGGACATGAGCCAGAAGTTTGATCTTGTAGCCCAGAAAGCCAACTGTATCCTAGACTGAATGAAAAGAAATGTGGCCAGCAAGTTGAGGGAAGTGATCTTGCCTCTTTGCTCCATGCAGGTGAGACCTTCTAGCAGAGCTCACTTCAGATCACTTTGTCCTTTTAGGCAAAGGACCAAAAAAGGGAGAGAAAACTTGACTTACTGAACTGTGAACAGAAAGAATAATAGAATTGTAGAATCACAGAATGGCTTGGTTTGGAAGAGACCTCAAAGATTACCAAGTCCCCAGCCCCCTGCTGCAGGCAGGGGTGCCAATAACTAAATTGCAAATCAGACCAGGTAGCACAGGGCTGCATTCAACCTGGCCTGGAACACCTCCGAGGATTTGGCATCCACAGCTTCTCTGGGCAGCCAGTGTCAACACCTCACCATTCTGTCATTGAAAACGTTCCCCTAAACATCCAATCTAATTTTCCCCTCTTTTAGTTTAAAACCATTCCCCCTGTCCTATCAGTACCTATCCATACAAAAAGTTTATTTCCCTCCAGCTTATAAGCTCCATTTTTAAACACTGGAATATACAAATTCCACTTAATAAGTGGTATTTTGTAAGATATTTGCTGAAATAAATTTCACTGAATCCACCGTCTCATTGGTGATCACAGTTAGTAGCAACTGTTCAAATGCACAGGGAACAATCCTTGATTTCTAGCTTTTCCTTCCTGAAAATACTAGAAGAGACTTGAAATGTTAACTTTCCAGTAATACAGTTAATTTGAAAAGAACTTAGGGAGCTGACTGTGTTTTTTGACTGTTGTTTTTAAAACAAACATGGGTAATGGGCTTGGCAGCTTTTTAGAAAGCTTTGGCACCATGGAAGAAAAAAAAAAATAAAAGAACCCTTTTCCTATGTGCAGTTCAGAAAGAGAGAAAGTGTATTCCCAATACCTGACACTAAGTTTCACTACACAGTAGAAGCCACACACTGAAAAAAATTAACTGCCAAGGGGATTTTACCAATAAATAATTGAGTACAGAATTCAAGAAGGTTCAAGGCTGGTACATTTTCCCCTGCAACTATAATGGTGTGCTGTTCCAAACGCTTAGACTACTACTGCATGTGAGACATCACCAAACCTTGTCTGGGGAGGCAAGGATTTGATGTGTAGAACAATTCTGAAACTGAGGAAAATGAAAAGAGAAAAGAAAGGAAAGAAGTTCTAGTTTCATTCTGGCTTTTTATCCCGAGCATGTTCCTATATCTTCCTATATCCCATATCTTCCTAGTATCTTCTGAACCTACTGACACACCCAATCCATATTTGAGAACAATGTGGCTATCGGATCAAGTTCTGTTAGATTCTATTAGATTTGCAACCACAGGTGTCTTCAATGAGAAAAGGGACCTTGCTAAGGGGAAAACTACTGCATGACACATCATTTACAACGGGTTCATAATAAAAATACAGCTTCTTCTTAGAGCTTCTGGATACAGTTACAGCCAGATAGATAGATATTCACTAATCAGGACACCAAACAGAAAGGTATGCCATCTTAAACTACAGCAGGAGTGCTTGAAATTACCTATGGGAGAAAACTCCTGGCTGGAGCTGACTGTCTGAGCTTGCTGTATAGGTTCAGTACCGATGCTCCAAAAAACCTCAGATGAATGTCTGGGATGTCACAGGCAGGGAAGCTGTTCCCTGAGCTCCTGTTAATGTAGGGGACTTTGAATTCAGCAAAAGGTAAGCAGCAAAGACTTCATTATCTAGGCTCTCATCTCATTTAGGTCTATTTAAAACAGGTTCCCTTGTTTCAAACATGCTACCTGATCATTTCACTGGATGCCTTCCTTATCTGCTTTACCAGAAGCAATGAGTGAGAACATCAGCTTCTGAAGAGTTATTTGAGATCCTACAGGATCTGAAAGCTTGTCTCTGTAAGGAGCTTACTCTGCCACTCCTGCAGAACACTGGCTGCCCAGATAAACCAAGATTGCAGGCTGCTGCAGGGACTCCTTGTATATAAAAAAAAGGGAAGCACATATCGCCGGAGGACTTTGGATGGAGGTGCTCTGGAAGAAGCATTTGAGTCTTCCTAATTTTGCACAACATGAACCATCACTTTTTGTTTTTCCCCTGGTAACTCTTTTAGATGCAAAGTGCTCATACATACCTCTACGTTTGCTCCAGTGGTTGAAGCGGGTTCCTGGCCCGGTGCTGGAGAGCAGTGCTCCCTGAGATGCAGCTGTCCTGTTTGCAGGCTCAATTGCAGCTGTACCTTCCTTGCCATTGCAGTTGGCGTGATGTACCTTGGCACATAAACATCAACAGGTGCGATGCAGCCAGGAGCGCCGTGTAGCACAGTGTGGCGTGAATTAGTACCCTGTTTCAGACAGGAAAAGGATTAAGAAAAAGGCAGAAAAACAGACGATAATGACAGTAACTAAATTAGTCAGTAGGAGACAAAGTTGCCACCTTAAATCTTGGGAACTTTTTCATTTCTCCTTGTGCTTTGATGAGAGAGTACAACTGAAGTCAGCTTTGCGTAGGGCTGGGAGAGTTTTAGAGCGCTTTTAGGTCAGTGAGATGCTACAGACAGCAAATGCAATCTTTTTCCCCACTCGTTCTCCTACCCCCACCTTTGGGAAACATTAAACAACAGCACAAAGAATTTCTAAGCAACTGAAGTGAAGTGATGCTTAAACAACAGCCACCAAAAACACAGCCATACTTCTTCAAGGGATTTTGAAAGAAAGATTCTGAATTTGAATGGAAAATGTCTCTAAATCCTTTAAGCTGCTTTGAAAATCTCAGCCTCATGATATGGTTTACATCTAAAATTACAGTGTTGTTCTGAAAACAACCAGAAGACAACCTTACCTGAAAGAATGGCAGACTGAAAAAGCCATAATTCTGCTGCACTGTGTTTGTTTGTGCTTTTTCTTTAAGCATAGAGTCAATTTATTTAAGGGCAGGCTGAATGCGAGTCTGTCCTTTTGGTACAGGAACCACTTTGGAGCAGCAGCATCAGGCCCCAGGCAGTACTCAGATAAGCACCACAATAAAGGGAGGTTCTTGGGGAGCAAAGCTCACAGCAGAGCTTTAAGCTGCGCTCAAATGAATGGCTGTGATAGTCTGAAGCACCTGCAACTACATAGGAGGCTCTGGATTTGGAAAGAAACTTTATTGTCAGAAGATTATGTCACTATTTAAGACAATTTATAGCACAACTAAGTACTACAGCAGGGATTCAAATGTGAACAAAAAAATTCACATGAGCGCTCTTATTTACACAGATGCCTCCTGCAATGGCACAGTGAACTGCAGCTCTCACACATCATACACTGGAATGTAGCACATATATGACATATCCCTACATCTCTTTGCATTTTATATTCTGCTGGTGTATGCATCTCGCCATCCTGGCACTAAAATCTCATCTTAATATTGCATGCTTCTCAGAAATAAGTTCATTACTTTTTTGAAAGAAAGAGGGGCAAAAAAGGAAAGCAGCCAAGTGTTATACAGAGGGTGATGCTGAGGACGTCTTTATAAGTAATCTGGAGTGTGAAATAACCAGGGTGTTTAGTATTAAAAATGTAAATTCCTTAGAGGTGATCGAGAACAGTACAAAGAGAGATTTAAGCTTCACTTGTGTTGGAGGATTTATTAGTTCTTGAAAAGAAGATTTCAAAGAAACCAGTAATGAATGAGGGAATAATTACATACCGAGTTTGCAGAGAATAAACTAATTATAAAAATATGGTATGTTATAGGCCATCTGCCCCCCCTCCCAAAGAACTGAATTGTCAAATTACTGAGCCAGAGATGACACATTATAATTATACTGTTACTATGCAAGATTTAATACAAAATCTAACAACATTTTGCAATAACACCCATTTCTCTTTCTTGTTTGAAAATGAGAGTCATTATATGCTATCATGAGATTTGACATTGCTTGTCAGTATTCCAACGTGTCAGGATAACTGCGTAACCCATCTTTTTGGAATGAGAAAAGCAAGTGACAAATCCAACGGAGGGATATTTCACTGCCAACACGGGAAATAAGTGAGTTTAACTATCATTCGGAGCACAGAGTAATCACTTAATAATCTAAACCAAATTATTTAATTCTGTGAATAAGTGCACAGACACTCAACAGAATGCATCAAAGCAACAGTGTGTCCCAAACAATTTCTCCTTGCCTTTGGGCTTTCTTTTATTAATCAAAAACAGAGATAAAACAGGCTGTGTTTCCCTTCAGCATTTGTGTTGTTAGAGCCTTTCCTCTGAGAATGCTCACTTAAAACCTATTTTAATATCTAGCTTAGACAGGATCACAAAGACTCCACCATCCTGTTTGGCTGAGAAGTGTGAGCCCCTCCTGGAAATGAAGGTGCCTGGAACCTGGTGTTCACTTCCAGCTATTAGCAGTGGTGTATCATAGCTAGGAATTAAACAATTCAGAATGATGAAGCCTTTATTTTATATTGCACTAATTTTGTCTGTTACTTACAGGTCTTTCTTCACTTTTCATGATTCTTTACAAAGCTGTGTGCAGTAATTTCATAAACTTTGGGAGATTCAGTGCCAAAGCTCATCCAGCATGTAATTTAGCTGTAGTACAGTTTTCTTCAGGATTTTATTCTCAGAAGGCTTTCATTTACTATCGGTGAGTTTGGGCTTTCCTGAAAAACACCAAGAGAATTATCAGGTAACCAGCACCATTGCTAATGGCAAAAACAGTATTGAAAAAAAAAAAAAAAAAAAAGCACAGAAAGCCAAAGAGAGTGTTTTCCTGTTTTCTCTGTTGATGACAAGTGTCTGCGCCGTGACTGCAGGCACCATCTTCTCAAATGAAATCGTGCCTTTGTTTGGAAGCTTTGTCCAGCCGTGTGCCTGCCATCATCTCGCAGCCGTTGCTCACACGTGCTGAGGACGTAGCAAAGCTCTTAGTGTCAGCTGGGCAAGGAAGCCTGTCACAGACAGCAGAATCCTCGTGAGCTTACAAAAGAGTCGCTCACATGCATTTAAACTCTGAAACCTGAAGAAAATCACCAAACCTTTTTTCATTAGCTAGTTTTGGTGCCCTGAAAATCTAGTTCTGATCTTGTGGGCCAGATAATATTGTGAGAACGTTTCCACTTGCTTCGTCGGTCTCGGGGTAAGAAGCAGCCATCTATGGGCAAGGGAGAGAAGGAAATGGGAGCTGAGGATATTTTTAAGCACCGTAGTTCCAATGCTGAACTACATGCTACTACAGCTAAGAGTCTGCTTCATCATCCTTCCTCCTCTCTCACCAGTGATTTAAAATAGTCATTTCTATTTCCATAATGTTTCTGTAGCAACGACCAAAACTGCTTACAAAGGGGAAAAAAATTGAGAAGAGATTAAGGTAATATTTCAATTCTTGATGTATAAAAGTACAAGGAGAATCTCCTTCGAGCAAAAGGTTTTAACATATTAAAAACAAACAGAAACCAAAACAAGCAAACAAACCAACAAAACAACCACAAAACTCAGGAAAGAAATAGATGACAAAATACAGAACATTCAAAGCTTTTAGTTGTTGTCACAATATCCATCTGGCTTGAGATGTCCACGTATGATTACAGCTTCCTCTTTGCCCAGGACACTCTAAATATGGATTCAGTTCTTATTTACACCAACTTCAAATTAAGGATTTAAAAGCTACTTAATAAAGCTGACACTTAGATGAGACAAATTAAATACAAGTGTTGAAGAATATACTAAAATTTAGTATTACATGTATTATAAATAAAGTTACATTTTCTCCCATTAATTTTGTTTCAGAAGAAATTCTTGAAAAACTACTGTGATTTCCTAAACACTGAGACAACAGCTCTATCTCCAGTGCAATGAAACAAACTGGTATATTTCTGGACAAGAAGATACGAAGCCGCCACCGCTTCCAGAGAGGTAAGAATCTCCCAGAAGCGTGCGGCATTCAGACTGGCTTTCTCATTCAACTCACCTCCCAGGTGGGAACACGGACTGCATCTGAAGAGATCAACCCCCCCACTAAACAACATGCTGCATGCTCAGCTTATTGAGTTCAATTCACACCCCAAGCCTTGCTCGCGCACAGTGGATAAGCAGCCCTGTCCTTGCAGTGCGGTAGGTGGCCTTCTGTTCAGTTTGTGCTGTGGGTCTCTGAATCAAATGCGCCATCCCTGTTAGATGGAATCAGCTAGTAATTACTTTTTAAACCGCTGAAGTTGTCCCCAAAAGGGCATTTTTTGCCCTTAGGTGAACAGCCCTTTAAAATTGTCCAATAACACAGCTACGTGTATCATTCTGGAGCTGATGTCCAGCCCAAACGCCCACTACTCCTGAAGAAAAATTTCCTTTGGTCTGCAAACATACCCTCAGCACGTTTTGCACCTAGGACAAAGTGTCAAAAGTCTGCAATTTTGCACAAGTGAATAGCAAACCAATGTCATCAACTGAACACAGCCCTAGCTGAAATTAATTGAAAAGCAAACAAACAGCCAGAAAAACCCTGAAGAGAGATTTTCCCCATCTCAGTATATTAGAAGAGGGATTACTACTGACAGCAACTTGAGAGAAGAAGAAATAAAGGACAGTGAAGGGGGAAGTAGTTTGCAGCATTCAATCAGTATGCAGCCTCAGACTCTTAATTTGCAAAAGCTCTGCTATAGACGACATTCGAGCACTGCTGATAGCCACTTTGCTTCCAATGACTGTAGCTACTGCAGATGCAGTGTAATGACTTCTGTAGTTGTGGAAAGATTTCCTCAGATGAAAGAGTTATGTCAAAACTTTGTTTTCCCTCCCATTGTTTGGTAAGACAGCATAGATGAAGTGGAATCCACTTTGGTGAGTTCTTATCAGGCATGTATATGTGCACACTTTTTGAGATGCAACGTATGTTTAGCTTGCTTGATTTTGCCTTACCTCCCTCAGTGCATTCTGATGAAAAAAGCTCACAGCAATTTAAATCGTGTTACCTCTGCCTCCCTGTGACCCACCTATGAGGTCCTATGACTCAAGCATAACTCTCTCCTTCCTCACTACTCCAGCCCCAGCAGCAGGAATGTAGGGCATCTCTCACAGAGCTGCCTTAGCTGAGGCTTGGCAAAGAAGCAGGCATGGGATCAAAGCTCGAGCCACTGCTTGCCCACTCTTGGTCAAATAAAGAGATAACCTGGCTGTCTTTTTAAAAGAAGACCATTGCCTAGTTAGCTCATGGTACAGAAGGGTGCCAGGGAATACTGTCCTGGCACAGGAACAGAGCAGATCCTGCTGACCTCAGGAAAAAGCAATGGCCTCTTTACTAACACAGGTTCAGGTAATCCCCATCTGAATTTTCAGTTAGACAGTATGAAATCTTCCAACAAGTCTTTACTCAATACAGCCCCAATTAGAGACCTACTGCAAATGACCAAGTCCTGGAGCCATGAAATGCAAGCAATGGCTCCCAGCCCAGCTGCCAGTCGCTGGGAGAATCACTCTGCTAAGTTAACCAAACCCAGACAGAATACACACACAGAGCAAATGCTCTGCACCTCCCCTTAGCACTGTGGACTGGACCCCAGGTCACTGGATTTCTTTGCCTTTCTGCCCCAGTGAGTGTAACAAGTGTTTTCTTCTGGTGCTAATCCCAAGCAACTGCTAACAGCATCACTTCAACCTTGAAATGTCTGCTTAAAATGCTGTTCTTTCTCCAAGTAAAATCATTTTGATCAGATTCTGTCCTCTGCATTTCTCATCTCTCTCTAAACTGAAATGTGAAACATTTTAAACAATAAAAATCACTGTACTGGAAAGCTGCACTGTTTACTTTTTGTATGCTGCATACAAGTGTACAGCAGACCTTTAAGAGTTCTAAATTCATTCTGACCTTCTTTGTCGGTTATTTACTTTGGGCCTTGAGGAAATGCTTAGCTAAAATGGCCTTTTTCCCTTTCAGAAATCTAATCTTCCAGAAAAATTCCACTGGACAGCAGGTTTTGTAATGGAATTACTGTAGTTAATTCCTATCACAGCAGTTCCTTAATGAAAGGCTGGAAGAAAGTCAACAGGTACCGTATTCTGCAAAAGGTGCTGTGAATATGAGAGCCTTAGTACAGAAAGGTGTGTCATCCTCCCATCAAGATAATTAACGGTCTCTCGAGTCAGGCAATTAAAGGTTGCAATAATAATCTATAAGATATCTCCCTTTGTTTCCCAATTAAAACTTTTCAGACTAATTAAAAACATGGTTGTGTCATGCAGTGTGGTGGTTTCCAACCGGCACAATAAAATAATGGGTCTCAGCCAGAGAAGATAAACGCTTGAAAAAAAATTACCCATTTAGCACCATCTTATGTCAACACTGATATACGAAGTTCTGTTTTGTGTAGTGGAGAAACCATCTTTTCTTTAAGGTACTCCTGCAGTGGCTTTCATAGGAGCTGAGAGCCTCACCTTGCTCTTTAGGGAGACCTTTATACTTCAAGTTCTGTAGCCAGGAGTCAAGTGCTTGGGTCCAGAGAGCAAATGAGCCCAAAGTAATGTCAACTATATGAAAAAGGAGGGAAAGATTAATTAAAACTCCTCAGAAATCTCTTCAATATCATTGTCTGATGTGCTTTCTATCAGCAGAGTTCTGTCTTCCATCTGGCAGCTTTAACAATATAATGCTTTTATACTGTTCCTAAGGTAATTATGCCAAATACGCCGAACATGAAGGGAAGCAATTGGTATAAGTTTCAGATTAATCTCTGCACATTCTGGTTTTTCTATTCTGCCTTCAGAGGCTGAGGTCGTTGTTTTTGTGTTGCTTATCAATAGGTTTTTTCCTATTCTGGCTGGTATTACTGTCCTGCCAGCTGGGATCACACGGGACCTGGCTTGCCCCTCAGTGGTATGGCACAGCCACTGTGAGCAGAACACAGAGCTGGGACACAGCCTCTGGTAAGAGTATAAACAACACAGACCTCCCCCACTCAAACACTTCCTGTGGGCCTGTGCTGGCATTAGAATTCAGTTCAGAATAACCACTGATAGACTCAAACTCCTCTTTGCCTGCTGCAGGCCTGGGGTTTTATCATCCTTGTGCACTGGGATACAGCAAAATCATATCGCTCAACCGTGTACGCTGAATGACATCTGTCTCCATTTCTGTCCCTCACTTACTACTTAATTAGTGGAAACTAATTGCTATAAGAATCTTTTCATCTTTAACTAACCAAACGTGTGCAATCCTTTCTATTTTTCTTTGTTTAAAAAAGAGAGGTGGTGGAATCACATATAAGTATGCTGCAAGGGAGCATCCACCTGGCTATTGTAAGGAATTTGTTCCTGTCTTTGCCGTGCTCTGAATTATATCTGTTTTTTGTTGCTCTTTTCAGCGTTATTAAGCACGATCATTTGCTCTCAACCACAACGGACAGCTTGAGCCAGTATTCCTTTTATCTGGCTGCACTATTCTAACAGAGCAGCTACTTCTTACAGCAAGACAAACATGAAAAATGGAGAACTTGATAGAAAGCAGCCAGATGGCTTCTTGGAAAAGGCCTATCCTTTCTTTTAATTGATAGTTACAGTAGATCAAAGTGACAAACTTTACCCTTGAGTCTTGCAGACAAAACTATGTTTATACATAATTTTACCACCAAATTCATGAAAAAGAACGAGGTTGACTCCTAAAATCTTACTTTAC